CCCCCCCCCCCCCCCCATTGCAAATCAGGTTTATTGTCAAAATTTACAGACTTGCAGCTGTTTGCAATAATCAAATCAAACCAAAGCCATTGAAACAGGTCAAGTGATTTCCCCAAACAACTTTTATTGACTTTTGCAATCTCAGGATTACTCGCCCCCTTCATGGCAACCATCTTTAGTACTTAGTAGAACAATATTTTGGTGTTACGACTTGCTGCAGATGAGATTCATAGCCAGACTCCAGCTTCTGAGAAATCTTATCTCGTTCCTCCTCAGCGATGTCTTCCAGTTCACTAATATTCTTGGTTTGTGTGCTGCAACCTCCTCCTTCAAATCCCACCAGAGGTTTTCTATGAGGGTCAGGTGACTGATGGCCACTGTAGAATCTTCCAGGACTTGGGCAACCAAGCTTTGGTGGGATTTGAGGTTTGGATTATGGTCCTGTTGGAATAGTCCAATGGTGCCCAAGCTTCAGCTTCCTCACAGACGGCTTCTCCTAGGAGCATGGCTGTACTAAAGATGGCCTGACCCCCATAGAAAATATCTGGGGGAATTTGAAGGAGGAGGTTGCAGCATGCAAGCGCAAGAATTTTACTGAATTGGAGGTCATTGCTCCATGAGGAAGGGGATAAGATTCCTCGGGAACGCTGCCAGAATCTGGTGCCTGGCTATGAATCTCGAAGTAACAACAATGATCACTCGCAGGATGAGAATAAATCCAGAAGTTCCATTTCCTGTAGAACAATGTCACATGTGTAACGTTGTTACTTCTGGATATGCACGGCGCCATGCGTGGACATCGCTACCAGCACCACCAATATCTCAAACACTGCTCCGAATTGTTGTATGGGGTGCAGGGGACATCTTTGTTTATGGCTATGAATCTCACGTGCAGCAAGTCATCCCAGCAACATGGAGCTCTACCCGGTGCTAAAGATGACTGCCATGAAGGGGGAGGGACTGCAGAAGTCATCTCCCGGGACCGGCGGGGTATGCCCTCTGTCCCGGGACCGGCGGGGTATGCCCTCTGTCCCGGGACCGGCGGGGTATGCCCTCTGTCCCGGGACCGGCGGGGTATGCCCTCTGTCCCGGGACCGGCGGGGTATGCCCTCTGTCCCGGGACCGGCGGGGTATGCCCTCTGTCCCGGGACCGGCGGGGTATGCCCTCTGTCCCGGGACCGGCGGGGTATGCCCTCTGTCCCGGGACCGGCGGGGTATGCCCTCTGTCCCGGGACCGGCGGGGTATGCCCTCTGTCCCGGGACCGGCGGGGTATGCCCTCTGTCCCGGGACCGGCGGGGTATGCCCTCTGTCCCGGGACCGGCGGGGTATGCCCTCTGTCCCGGGACCGGCGGGGTATGCCCTCTGTCCCGGGACCGGCGGGGTATGCCCTCTGTCCCGGGACCGGCGGGGTATGCCCTCTGTCCCGGGACCGGCGGGGTATGCCCTCTGTCCCGGGACCGGCGGGGTATGCCCTCTGTCCCGGGACCGGCGGGGTATGCCCTCTGTCCCGGGACCGGCGGGGTATGCCCTCTGTCCCGGGACCGGCGGGGTATGCCCTCTGTCCCGGGACCGGCAGCTGCCGCACAGCACAAGTATTTAGGGTTTGGTGTGCTCAGGGAGTAGTCGGCACAGCTTATGTTTGACTAGCAACACGCACTCTGTTGTCGCAACCGGACTCCTTCCACCGACCTCTATCCAGGGACTCTGACCTGCTGTATAGGGGTGGAATTCGGTACTTGAGCTAACCGGATCAATAAATATTCTTGTGCTAAAAGGAAAGCTCCCGTTTTCTGTTGAGTCAGCAGTTCCGGGAATGTTTCCCGTGCTGTGTGAGGGTTGGCGTTGTGCGGTTTGGTATTAATTTGTATCCATCTACATTGTGTATGGTTGGCCCACCATGTTGTATTGTGTACGAGACCCGTCCCGGTCTGTTATTATGAAGGTTCTTGGTGCCTCTGGTCTCTAAGCCCGCCTTGCTGAGGGATTTAAACCTTCATTTTAGGACTACATTGCGCTATCCCTTAGTCAGCATACCGGATACTATTATTAATCGAGGTAGTTGAATCCCCTTTAAATAGCTGGTGATCCTGCCAGTCCATTAGTATGATCTACCCAACCACGCTAAGCCCAGCCGACCCATGCTGGTGTGGAGCGTGCGTCGCTGCTTCTTCTAATGGGACCTACAGGACTCTGCACCATAGAGCCAGATGCAGGTCAGGTACACGGGGAGCCGGGGACTTGCAGTCTCCTCTATACATAGAGCCGGGGGCAGGTCGGGTACACGGGGAGCCGGGGGCAGGTCGGGTACATGGGGACTTGCAGTCTCCTCTACACATAGAGCAGGGTGCAAGTCGGGTACACTGGGAGCCGGGGTTGGGTACACTGGGAGCCGGCGTCGGGTACACGGGGGGCAGGTCGGGTACACGGGGACTTGCAGTCTCCTCTATACATAGACGGGGGAGATGGTCGGCTCCATGTGGGGCCCTCTGATCCATTTCAGTGACAGATTTTGTAACATTAAAGCTGACCTGTCATTCTCTCACACCCTCCACTCCCAATTCCCTTCTTCCCTTCCCATCTGCACAATATAAAACCTTCATTTCCTGTCTGGCTGCGCACATGTCACCTCGCTCTCCTCCTGGTCCGGTGCTGTCGTAGCTATTGGCCTTCCATCCATCATCCAGCGTTCTATGACAGAACACATCCCTGGCATTAGCGCTGCAGCTAACGATTATTTTCAAAATCGATTAGTTGGCCTATTAAGTTCGATTAATCGGTGGAAGAAAAAAAAATGGCTCCAGTGATGGACTACTAGTTTGTATTGAGATTGTAGTCCATCACTGGAGCGGGGGGGGGGGAAGTAAAAAAAAAAAAAAAAAGTGTGGTGTGCAATATATTACATTATACAGCGGTGCAATACCCGCAGCTATAGAGGAATACAACAACTCCCAGCAATAGTCCTTTATACTATAATGTACTATTGCTGGGATTTGTAGTGCTTTATCTGGCGTTATTCTGCATTGCGCTGTATATAATTTATTATTGCTGGGATTTGTAGTGCTTTATCTGGCGTTATTCTGCATTGCGCTGTATATAATTTATTATTGCTGGGATTTGTAGTGCTTTATCTGGCGTTATTCTGCATTGCGCTGTATATAATGTATTATTGCTGGGAGTTGTAGTCCTCCATAGCTGCTGGTGTTCTGCATTGTGCTGTTTATACGGCGCAATGCAGAATACCACTGACCAGTAAGAGGACTACAAATCCCAGCAATAGTACATTATACAGGCTGTTTAATGTAGTATTGCTGGGAGTTGTTGTTCCTCTATAGCTGCTCGTGTTCTGGCAGCTCTACCTGTCATCCCTTTACTCATGTGTGCTCTGTGGCTGGAGGAGGCACATGCGTGCTCTGTGGCTGGAGGAGGGACATGCGTGCTCTGTGGCTGGGGGGGGCACATGCGTGCTCTGTGGCTGGAGGAGGGACATGCGTGCTCTGTGGCTGGGGGGGGCACATGCGTGCTCTGTGGCTGGAGGAGGGACATGCGTGCTCTGTGGCTGGGGGGGGCACATGCGTGCTCTGTGGCTGGAGGAGGGACATGCGTGCTCTGTGGCTGGGGGGGGCACATGCGTGCTCTGTGGCTGGAGGAGGGACATGCGTGCTCTGTGGCTGGGGGGGGCACATGCGTGCTCTGTGGCTGGAGGAGGGACATGCGTGCTCTGTGGCTGGGGGGGGCACATGCGTGCTCTGTGGCTGGAGGAGGGACATGCGTGCTCTGTGGCTGGGGGGGGCACATGCGTGCTCTGTGGCTGGAGGAGGGACATGCGTGCTCTGTGGCTGGGGGGGGCACATGCGTGCTCTGTGGCTGGAGGAGGGACATGCGTGCTCTGTGGCTGGGGGGGGCACATGCGTGCTCTGTGGCTGGAGGAGGGACATGCGTGCTCTGTGGCTGGGGGGGGCACATGCGTGCTCTGTGGCTGGAGGAGGGACATGCGTGCTCTGTGGCTGGGGGGGGCACATGCGTGCTCTGTGGCTGGAGGAGGGACATGCGTGCTCTGTGGCTGGGGGGGGCACATGCGTGCTCTGTGGCTGGAGGAGGGACATGCGTGCTCTGTGGCTGGGGGGGGCACATGCGTGCTCTGTGGCTGGAGGAGGGACATGCGTGCTCTGTGGCTGGGGGGGGCACATGCGTGCTCTGTGGCTGGAGGAGGGACATGCGTGCTCTGTGGCTGGGGGGGGCACATGCGTGCTCTGTGGCTGGAGGAGGGACATGCGTGCTCTGTGGCTGGGGGGGGCACATGCGTGCTCTGTGGCTGGAGGAGGGACATGCGTGCTCTGTGGCTGGGGGGGGCACATGCGTGCTCTGTGGCTGGAGGAGGGACATGCGTGCTCTGTGGCTGGGGGGGGCACATGCGTGCTCTGTGGCTGGAGGAGGCACATGCGTGCTCTGTGGCCGGAGGAGACTATAACTGTGCAGTCTGATGTTTGATCACTGATCAGCAGATTGCACAGGTAAAGTCTGCACCACCCAGTGGCCAGCGGGGAGGATCATGCGTGTCTAGAGGGATGAGCGGAATGTGTTTTGTATGTAGAACGCTCTTCAAGGAAGATCAAGGCAGGGCGCTGTGATGTTTAATGGCTCCTGCTGGCCCCTCCCACCAGACGCAGAGCAGAGATCACTGGGTCTCCAGAGGTATTTCTTCAGGTATAGATGTTAGTTGCATGTTGCTTGTTTTTGTGACTCTTCTCATTGGCTCTTCTCTTTCCTCCCCTCCCCCCCAGGGACACAGCCGGACAGGAGCGATTCCACACCATTACCACCTCCTATTACAGAGGGGCCATGGGAATCATGCTGGTCTACGATATCACAAATGCCAAAAGCTTTGAGAACATCAGCAAGTGGCTCAGAAATATTGATGAGGTAAGTCGCCGTCCTCTGTCCGCTCCGGCCCGGCCCTGCGGGAGGCTGTACAGCTAACCACCAAATGGTCAACTGAGCCGCGTGTAACGCGTTTCGATAGAAGCTGCAGCAAGTCGGATGGAGCCCGCCTCATTTCCTGGCTGGAGGACGTCCAGCATCATCAAGCCCAGGGGTAGGCGAACTCCAGCTGTGGTACTACCACAAATTCCATGAGGCATTGCAAGAGTTACAGACCCAGATGTGACTCCTAGGGGCAGATTCATGATGGGATTTGTAGTTTTGCCACAGCTCAAGTTTGCCTACCCCTGATCTTGTCCAACCCTTACCCCCACCCCACCCCACCCCCACACACTTTCTGTCCCTGGCCCGCCCCTTTCACTCATTGGATTTCAGTTCTTTCAATCATGGCAACTCAGCAAATTTGGCCATGACCTAGTCTGCATGCAAATGCAGTCTGCCTAGGAATTTCCAGACCTCCAGACTGAATTTAACCCTTCAAGGCATTTTAATATTTGCATATCTCCTCCCAAGAGCAGGCCACTGGAGTGGAGTCCATACCTCGACGGGTCAGGAAAAGGGGGACTTACTTAACCACTTGCCATCCGCCCGTAGTAAAAAAACGGACTGACGGCACTGCAGCATTTGCGGGTTGCCGTCTCCAGACGGCAATTGTTTTCTGCTCGCACGCGCCGTCTAGCGGGCACGCACGGGCAGAAAAGACCCGACCATTGCACACACCCGTTACCGGGTGTTTCACATATAGGCGATTAGCGGCTCCATAGCCCGCCAATCGTCTATATGTGCTCGTTCGCGTCCGC